TATTTAACTACATTGTACTATATTTAATTACATTGTACTATATTTAACTTTAATGTACTATATTTAATTTCATTCTACTACATTTAACTACATTATACTATATTTAATTAGATTATACTATATTTAACTACATTATATTATACTATATTATATTATGTTATATTATATTATTTTTATGTAATATTAATATTATATATTATAATATAAATTATATTATAAATCTGTTGTTTGTTTCATACTGCAAAATATTCTACTATTCAATACATTTGAATGTCTCAATGTCACAATAATTCAATAATATCGATAGATTAAGCGAGTAAGATTGAAAATGAATAAATAGAGATACTTTTCATTAATCCCAACGATTTCCCAATGACTTTGTAACGATTTTGGAGCACCTGCTCAGTCATTTGTTGTTCTCTGATGGCGCAATTCTCTGGACTCTTTGATCATATAATAACTATTCTGAAGTTTCGAGCGTTTAGAGTTTAAATCATCATTTGTCTTCTTTCTTTTCTTTCTACAATCTATCCTAACACTTATTGTTAGCCAACCGAACGGAGAGATCTCCCATTTTGTTAATCCCTTCACGCTCTTGGCCATTCGCGAAACCGTTGCAAAAATAGTTATTTTTTTTTTTTGAAATTCTGAAATGAGAATTTAATTCTTTTATGTGCTATCTTCTTTATCTACCAAAAATAAAATAAAATAAAATTGAAAATTCGTCCCTGAAGAGATCACCCATTTTTCCCTTTTAATCAGTTTCCTGAACTGGAGTTGTTTGCAATTCGTCAGCATACTCCTTCTGCCTCTGTAAAATAAAATTTTTCATAAAACCTGTGGACAGTGTATAGTTTGGCGAGTGTTAAGTGTATGCCCTTACACCCGCAAATGATAAAATTATTGGCAATATCTGCTATCGTAGAGATAAATGTTCCATTCCCATGATATACGTAACATTTCTAGATTTCATAAGATCGCTGCAAATGCTAGCAGTGCAGTTTGGATGCTAGGAATAGGAGGAAGATTCTGATCAAGATTAACAGGAAGAGAGAACAGAACGTGTAATTGGTGCATCGCGTCCTCGATTCGCGCTACTTGAAACCATACGCGCGTGACCTACAGCAACCGCAACGAACCCCTCTGAAACTGTGTACCCAGAAAGATCATTTATCTTCTAACTTAACAGACTGTTCCGACAAACATGTGGTTCTCTTCGCGTCGACACGCTTCGTCGGCGCCATTTTTACGCTTCCTCTCGTTTAAGCACGTCGAGGCGCTGAGACTTTTTGGAAAATTTTAGTGAGAGAAAAAAAAGAAAAAAGAAATTTCAACGGATCTCCGATCAGTAAAGTTAATTAATTTTACAGTAAGCGGACAATCGTTCGTTTTAGTTTTTCTATCGGGGAGGCAAAACTTGTGCCAAAATTTGTGCGACAAGTGAATTCAGAATTTGCACGAAACGATGGGGATCTCACACGTTCTTCGTAGATAGAAATTAATTTTAATCGACTGTGTCGTGTTAGCATGATATCAAAAGAAAAAGAAAAAAAAACAAATGATGTTATCGAGTTTAAATGTATACATGTTGTATTAAGTATAAATACTTGGTCTCCGAAGTTTCATAACTTCGTCTTCAAGCGTTTATGTCGAGTGAAAAGATGAAATTTTCTTATTCAACGTCGAGTATACTCGTCGCGTAGAAAACAAAATTCATTTTTGCTGTTTACTGTAAAATTTAGGTAAAAAATTATATACATTTGTAGTTTGTAAAATTTACTTAAATTTATTAAAAAAATTATTTAAAACTATAAAACTTAAGTAAACAATTATATATATTTGTAGTTCTAGCACATTCTAGAATATTCCAAGGCAACGAAACAAAAAAAAAAAAAAAAATTGAAATTAAAATTAAAAAATTTTTCAAAGAAACACCAAAATCATTTGTCATTTTGTTACAAAGTTTGATTATAATCTTACGGCAAATGCATTCACTGTGTTTTCGTCGAGTATACTCGTCATCGACTAGAAATAATTGCGCATTCTCAAAATAAAGCTTAAGAGGTTTAGGTTAGGTTTTAGTTAGGTTTTAAAGGAACACGCTCGCGGATTGGCGGCATATTTTGAATGAAGGAGAGTTGCATAACGCCAGGCGCTAGAGAAACAGATTGATCACGCGATTAATTAGCCAAGTTTTATTGCTCAACTAGGTTATAAACAGTCGAGCCTGGCGTATAATGAGTAAAAATTCACAATCGTCGCTGGGAAATTTTCATGCACGCTGAATACCGACTTTCCCCTATAACTGAACATTATATTTTTTATTATAGTTTATACTTTTTATACCTAACGAGGAAACTAATGGGAGAATTTTCCATCCCGTAAGAATAAGAGATTTTATTTTAAATAATACGTATACGTTATTCAACGATACACTTTCTCTCGGTTGCACGATTTTCGCACGCGCCTGTACGTATGCACGACTTCGATTCACCGCACGAAGATCGAAGATTAAAACATAATCGTGAAGATCGAAGATTAAAACATAAGTGCACTTTTGTTAACTTTCTGTTTGCAATCTGTCAGAGATTCCTTGAATTAAAAAAAATATGAATCCCTGTCAACCTCCATTGATCAACTTTCTAAGAAGATTCAGGAATTAATATTGCAATCTTGATAGGCACGACACCTTGAAGAAATTATTGCATTCAAAAGATTAGGATTCCAATGACGAACTGGCTTCGTCTTTCCAGGTCAGCAGGTTAATGTCGCTTTACGATGGAACAGGAGACTATTAATATGACAGAATTTAAAATACGAAAATAACTCATCAAGTTTAAAGATAGAGCTTTGGTTTTTTTTAGAACAGTTGACGAAATGCTTACGGCATCTAAATATCTAATTATCGAGTTTTTACAAGGAGGAACTGAATTTTATTATAATAGTAATGTGAAAAGCTCAAAATCTTTGTAAAAAGCAGGAAATGTGAGTTATCGTGTAGTTAATGGAACTAAACCTTCGATCAGATCGATCAATGATCCGAATCCCTCGCGACTTGATTGAATCTTTTTCAGGAATGTGCTTCAGTCTTTTGTACTATTTGCGTGATAAAATTAATAAAATTAAAAGTACAGGGAAACAGCATAAAGGGTAATAAAATTAATAAATTAATAAAAGGGTTAAATTAATTAACTAATAAAAGGGTAATTAAATTAACCTAATAAATTAATAAAAGGGTTAAATTAATTAATTAATAAAAGGGTAATAAAATTAATAAAATTAAAAGTACAGAAAAACAGCATAAAGGGTAATAAAATTAATAAAATTAATAAATTAATAAAAGGGTCAAATTAATTAATTAATAAAAGGGTAATAAAATTAATAAAATTAAAAGTACAGAAAAACAGCATAAAGGGTATTATTAGTTAGGACAAGTATTTATGTTTCTCTTTTTTTTTCCCCTTTTTTCTTACTGATATGTGCGGAGAGAGCAATGTTTATTTCGATGCTATGTCGAATGACTACGCACAAAATGACACAAAACTTTCGTTTTCTCGAATGGAGACCAATTTAAAAACTAGCTGACTCTGGATAGAGTCCTTTCAAAGTAATTGCTTGCTCAGAGATCATGCAAAGATCAGGATGGGACATTTCATTCGCATCCCTTCTTCCTCTAGTCGAGTAAAAAAAAAAAAAAAAAAAAAAATGTATGTCTTAAAAAAAAAGGGGAAGGTTAATCATTGATTCTTCGTAGGCTCAGCTAAAAATTGTATTAGTCTCTCCAATCAACAAGCGTATCTTTCAACGCGTTTTACGTTTTTCACGCTCTTTATACGCAAAGAGGTTCACTCAACCACTGAATTACACAATCCCTCGCAGGATTTGCTATACTTATTGTATTTAAAAGTACGAAGCTTCTCCGTTATTTCCAGGGCAGATGAATTCGAGGTAGTTGCTCTCTCAACATTTATTCACATTCATCTTCCCGAGACAACGGGACAATCGTGTTTTTTATTCCATTTGCAACGCACTCTCGATCTGTCGTCAATGCACTCGAATGCAAACAATTCGCCGTTACTAAAATATTTTTTTTTTCATCCAGCGAAAGGATAATGGTAAAAATCCAGGCCAATTTTGCAGCGTGTGTTTCTGTGATCGATATTTTAACACGTT